GGTCGCGGTAGTTTGGGGATCTGGAAACGCGCCGAGTTGGCCAAGAAGTCATCCAGGCTCCGCATTGGCGCCACCTCGATGTCGACGCCCGCCATCGCCGCTGCGGCCAAGCGGCAACCGTCAGCGGGAGCGGGCACGGGCGTTGAAAGAGGGCACACGCGGAGCTCTGCGGCGCCGGCGAACACCCGGGAGACACGCAGGACACGGACCGCGTCCTGTGACAGGACAGCGCCGACGCCGAGCGGCACAACACCGACACCGACCCTGCCAGACCGCTGTCACTAGCACGCGCTGCGGCACTCACGAACTTGGCAGCGCGCTCCACTCGGCGGGGAGCCCAGCACCGGAGCCGGCGGCAGCTCAGACCCGATCGGGCACGGCGCGTCCGGCCAGGCCGCCGAGCGCAGGAGCACGATCGGCGCCCTCGCGAGCGCGCCGCGCGCCGTCCGAACCGCCGGCGGCGCCACCGGCCTCCGCCAAATACGGCGCGGCGGACCGGTTACGCGGACGGCGAGCAGGGCCCAGCGCTGGGGAACCGTGCCTAGATACAAGCGGCACCGGGGGCTGGCGCGGTACCGGGCCGCGCTCGTCGGCATGCTCTGACGATGGCCCCCGCTGAACAGGGAAGGCCACGGGCGGCGGCAGAGGCCTCGTCCGGCTAGCGCCCAAACGCCGCGACCGGCACCGTCTGGGACGGTGAGGAAGCGGCAAAGACGGGACGGGGAGGAAGCGGTAAGGACGGGACGGGGAGGAAGCGGCACGGACGGGACGGGAGGAAGCGGCAACGGACGGGACGGGAGGAAGCGCAAGGACGGAACGGGAGGAAGAGGCACGGACGGGACGGGAATGGAAGCGGCACGGACGGGACGGTAGGAAGCGGCAAGGACGGAATCGGGGAGGAAGCGGCAAGGACGGGACGGGAGGAAGCGTGCAAGGAGGGACGGGGGAGGAAAGCGGCCACGGACGGGACGGGGGAGGAAGCGGCACGGACGGGACGGGAGGAAGCGGCAAGGACGGAACGGGGAGGAAGCGGCAAGGACGGGACGGGGAGGAAGCCGGCACGGACGGGACGGGAGGAAGCGGGCAAGGACGGGAACGGGGAGGAAGCGGCACGGACGGGACGGGGAGAAGCGGCACGGACGGGACGGGGGGAAGCGCGGCAAGGACGGAACGGGGAGGAGCGGCACGGATGGGACGGGAAGGAAGCGGCACGGATGGGACGACCGCGATCCGGGCGCTGCTCCCGAGGATCAGGACATTCGCATGTGACCAGAGTTACCGCATACGGCAGGCTATGATCTTGGCTGATCCTGACCAACGGCTGCCCGGGACAGCTGGCATCAAAAAAGGTACGACCATTGATAGCGCATTCAGCTGGAACTGTTACTGGTAAAGCCCTTTGAACCAAGTGTTGATAAAGTTAAGTCAAAACCCCCACTGATAGCCCTCGCCGTTGCTCATAGCACTGGCTCAATCTGAAGCAATTAGTGAAAAGTCCAACTTGATCCATTGCTGGTAAGGCCGGCTGGAGTCATGGCTCACGAAACTAGCTAGAGTAATTGCTGGGAGGCCTCACCATGACTATCACTGGATGCTTACATAAGACATGGGATTGGTACCACCGCTGGCGTAGCCGGGAACTCGTGGCACTACACACGCGAGCAAACCATTGTGTGCAAACAAAGGGCCTCGTCGTCGCGCCTCTTTAAAACGTTACACGAAAGACGGGTTGATGTACTGTTCAGTAGTAGTAACAACCACAGGTCCGTACGCGTCACGTGCCCGGCGGTGTCCAGCCTCGTCCGCGCCTCATTCCTGCTCCAGGCCCAGACATCGCGATCTGTGACGATGCATGAGCGGAGGTCCCCTGCCTCAATTGTGCGCCAAAGTGGTGACGCGGAAGACCGACACGGACCATACGTCGGACAGCGCTGTCCGGGTCGAGGAGCTCGCGAGTTCTCGTCTCCAGCGGCGTCATCAGTACACGATTCCGCCATGTCCACCGTGACAGATAATCACGGACACTGGACCGCGCCACGTTCGATCTCTTTTGAAATTACACTCCAGTATTCGTGCGCCTGTGTAGATCAGAGTCCTTGAAGGCCCCGAGGCCCTTTTGGTCCACTGGCCCTGCCGAGCTCTTACACAGATCCTAATTCCGGCACCCTGTGCTGAAGCGACGGACGGACGGACCAGTCCAGACCAGTGCGTGCCAGGGGTTATTTTTAACCTGTTAATGGCAGGTGAACAAAGTGCTTGCTCTGGCCGCCCGTTTCAATCGTTAATGACCACGGCTCCGAAATGGTTCCCTTTATCCTCGAGTGAACTGAATGCGTTGCAGCCTTCACATAGGTGCCTTTTGATCGTTGTAGCATGATCAGCCAAATCAATGAAATCGCCACGGGGCTGCGCACGGGGCTCACTGTGTTCCCGCGTGTTCTGCACTGCCCTGGCGGACGGCCGGGGGATCGGAGTCGCCTCTCACTTTCCAAGTGACGAATCGCCGGCACGCGTCTGACTGTGCGTCGCCACGCCCTTTCAATGAGCTATTGGTCTACCAGACCAAAGAAATCCGCTGACACTTCTGCACTCTGAAAGCGGTCTCGCCAGGGTTTCGCAGAGCACGGGGTGGGGGCTCCACGGTCAACGTGGTCGAAAGGAGTGTTTGAGGACGCCCAGTACCTGGTCAGTCCCGGAGGATGCTGGTTATCTACACGATTTCGGGTCGTCGTCCGCACTGATCCCTGCGTCCTTCTCCGTGGAGATCTGAAGTACAGGAATGCCTCAGATGTGTCGGATGAGGAAGAAAAGTACAATCAAAGATGTGGTGTAGCACAGCCCAGGCTGTATGTGACACAGCATATTGTGCAAAGATGTTTATAAAGTTCAAATCCTTGGTCAGATGCATCCATATATACAAAACAGCAACATGTAGAGTTCTTTCTGCTCAAATTTATTAAAGCTGACAAGAAACATCCAGTGACAAGCAAACAAGGTTGTGTGGGAGCAGGAGAATTTGAAAGTGCCAAAAGTAACCTTCACCAAGAGTGCAATGTAAATAACCTGAAATGCAGCACAATATGAGCAGGCATTCTGTGAGAGTGACATACATATAGCATGCATTCTTCAAATGCATGCATGAGTTCCAGTACCAGGTGTCCTCAACTAGTTCTGCAGACAGACTTGCTATATATGGTATGCAAAGGCAAGGGAGGGGCACAACTTTAATGAGCTTAAGGATTTGATGAGCCCAGATTCATTTTTCCAGCTTGCCAGCAGCTGTGCATGGTGGGTTTGTCATATTTTATGTTTATCAAAAAGCATTTTGAAGTCTATGTTTATATTGTAGAGACTTCAAAATAGGCCAGAGCTAATTACATTAGAGTGAACTCAAGTGTGAGCCAGCCTTCTTCATTACAATATAGCACTGACTTTAATCATCTGATTATGTGTGGACATGGATAAAGCTATATCTCTGAGATTGGGGAGACAAATCATGGTTGGGGAGGGGGGGGGGCAAACTGAAATTATTGGGGATAACCTGGTCTGAAAGTGGCATTTGGAATGGTGAAAGTGTGGATCACATGCATTTTATGACATTTTTAGGAGGGGGAAATAACTTTGAGAACATTAGAGTGGAATACTCTCCAGCCCCACCTGGTGGCCACACTAATGAATATGGGCATGCCCTCCTTGTCAGATTGTATGGCTGGGCCCCAATGGCATGCCTGTACCATGCTGCTGTGGTCTGGAGCTGCCTGCCCTGCTGGTAATAGCCTTGTAATTTGCATGCAAGCAAGTGTGCATGACAGAGGTGTAGTTTCCTATTCAGTTGGGGGGGGGGGGGGGGGGGGGGGCTTTAGCCCCTTCTCCCTCCACCTTTAAGGAACAGAGTGGATACAATTTGAGGGAAAACCTGTTTTTTATATTTCATGGGCAGTTATACCATGTTTGACTGACCAAACACCTAAACACATTGTGCTAAACTTTGCTACAGGTGCATGGCATCCCCAGATACTTTGGCAACTGACTGTTTGACAATCATTTAACAGTCCTGACCATGGAACGCAGAAGAATCAGCATGACAAAAAATTAGCATATCAGTCTGAGATAAGGTTCCTGGCCACCCTCTCCCATGACTTGGTTGTGTCTGGTTGTCTCAGAATGCTGTTGAAAATTATTAGAGAATGACACTCAACATGCATAATGTGTACATGATTATGCCATTACCCAAGTTTTTGTGCACTCTGATAACACAATTTCCTTTTTTAATTCCTCATACGCAGAACTTCTTGAAGTACAGAAACACCAACAAGTCAACTTTTCAAGTACTCCTGCCTGGTCCAAACCACCCATAAATAGGGCTAGAAACCACTTGATAGCGAAATTTTCTGATCATTCTTCGACACTTTCAGCACCAATATGACTAACCTGCGTACCTGCCTATGGATCAGCACAAGTTTGTTTTATCGTATTCTTTCTTTATCCACGTGAATTCGATGCCGGCGTCACTAGTATGTTCTGGCCTATCCCACAATCGCCGTTGCACACAACGACACACCATCCATGCGACACAAGGCTAAGTCTTCTGTTTCGTTAGCCTAGATATAAGCAAGCGAGGATAAAGTGGATATATGAGAGCCTTGCCAGTACGCGTACGCCCCTGATGATCAAGCGTCCCTACGATCTTGCTAATAGTTGGAAATCCAAGGGTATTGAATGACGCATGTGTGACAATATTTTCCACTCAGTTCTACCAGCCCTCATGTTTCCAATCTACGACGAAGCATAGCGCTAGTTTCGTCTCAGGGTAGGGGAAGCAGATGGGTAGAAACGGTAGAGATTGAAGTTCTGTTGGCGAAGGGGACGAAGTAGTAGCAGGTTGCGGTTAGATTAGCAAGGCCAGCACAGGTCTAGTAGCGGTTTCGGTAAGGAATGGTCGAGTTATACGCATGCGGTGTTTTGGACCTGAACGGCGGTCAAAGACTTCCTTGTTCCTAGCGTTCCTTTTTTGTGCACATGTGAAACCGTTCTAAGTCAGCTCAGATGTGGTTCGTTGGACTCGCTAGGTAGGTAGCTCTTCACGAAACTGACGGTGATAACCGGCTTGCTCCTTTTCGTAGTTAGATGTTCAGTGTCATCCTCTGCCTGGGCTTTCTTGTTTTGTATGATGATTTCGGTGACAAATGATAGTAAAAAAGTTGTTTGTGTGTATGAGGAATATGCATAGCTTTGAGGTTCTGGAAAAAAGATTGGCAAATGTATTTTGGATGGATGGCTGCATATCAAAGACAGAAGATAAGCCAAAGGACAGGAGCTTGAAGGACCTGGGCCTTTTTCATGGAAGTAGAAAATATTTTCATGAAAGTAGCTCATGATACAGGGAATCCTCATAGAGTCATGCTTGTAATCTGCCTATCATGTTCTTTTTGCATTTGTCATGCCCAACCTGCTGCCCAATATTGATCTTTGTGGAACCATACAGCAGGTATGGCACTGGTGGTGTCCTAACGTGATGTAATGTGACCAAACCTAAACTAACCTCATGGATTAGCATGGTTTAAATTGGTATGGCCCAACCTAGCTCAACTTTACCTAGCCCAACCTAGCCTAATCCAACATGGCCAACCCAGTCCAATCCAACCCAACCCAACCCAACCCAACCCAACCCAACCCAACCCAATCAGATTTAATCTGAGCCAACCAAACTCAACCCATCCCAGCTTTACAAATTACAAACAGCAGGTTTGCGAGCACCAGGGCTGTATTGCACATATTTGCTGATAATGCTGTGAGCCACTTATCTGTTAAAGGATGCCATTTTCTGCATGTGACAGGACAAAGTGATGACAGAGGCTTTGTATAGGTATGACTTTTCCAAAATTCATTTGCTTATGAGCATGACAGCAATATCATTGCAGCATGCACACAGCCCTTGCTTTATAAAGTTAAAATTTTCTTAAAAGCATAGTATTTGCCCATTGCTAACAAGTTCCTTCACTTGCTCTGATTAAGCATGCTACTTAACTATTGTTGATATGTATTTCTGCTTTGGAAACTGCTTTGACCATGTGTTCTGTTTCCTGCTCACAGGAATTGCTGGATGGATTGGCCAGTAACAAAGAAAGAAGTCTATGTTCTCATGTCAATGGTCATTGAGTTGCAAGTAAAATGATGGCAGCTAGCCAAAATAACTCAACTCCACCATCTGTAGGAAGCTCTGATGGCACTGAACCAGGCTCATCTTCAAAGGTTGAGTTTCCACTTCATGAGTGTGTGTACAAAGGAAAAATAAAGAAAATTCCTCACCTGCTCAGGCATCATGACATTGATGAAAAGGATATGCATGGTAAGAGACTCTGCATCGATTTTGACTCCACATTCTGTGCTTTTTTTGCCTTGCCTTTGTTTGAGATTTTCAAAAATTGTCTGCTTTCATATTGTGTACCATGTGGCACTGATAACTGTCCACTGTTGTCCATGTACTTGTTGAATTTCCCATTCCCAAGTGGTCATAGCTTATTTTAATTCCAGTTGTATGTTGTATTTTTTCATGGACTATACTGGAATGATGTCATTCTCAAATTTTCCAGGGAATACACCACCTCATTTTATTTTCACACTTTCCAGGGAATACGCCACTTCATTTAGCAGTTATGCTGGGCCAGAAAGGTGAGTACCTTTTAACACATACTTGCAGGCACCATAAAAACCACCTCCCACCCTACCCAATGCATGCCAGTAATCTATGTCCTTGATTGTATTATGAAGCCTGAATTCATCCAAGTGTAATGGTGACTGAGATGTGCTCTGATATGCTGATTTTCATTCTTGTTTGCCCCCCTCCCCCCACCCCCACCCCCACACTGATTGCTGAATAACCTTAAATCAAGTTATGTTGTCAGCATTTCAAACCAGGTAACATAACTGCAATGATTCAGCCTTCACGCCTACTGTGTTATGCATTCCGCTCGCTGCCGTCACTTGACGGTGGTAGCTAGGCCCCCGCGGCCGCACATATTCCGTACTGCGACGTCTGGTGACGACTTGCCGCCAGAGATCGCCATGCTGCTGCTGGCCCGCAACGCCACCGTCAAGATCCGCAACACGCATGGCTGGAGCCCGCTGGCCGAGGCCATCAGCTACGGCGACCGGCAGACAGGTACGACGGGCCACACGGCAGGCGGCGGGCCGGTCGCCGGAGCCGGACACGGCAGGCGGCGGGCCGGTCGCCGGAGCCGGACACGGCAGGCGGACAGGGACCGGCCGTCGGAGCCGGACTGGCAGGCGGCGGGGCCGGCCGTCTGAGCCCGACACGGCCGTCGGAGCCCGACACGGCCGTCGGAGCCGGACTGGCAGGCGGCGGGGCCGGCCGTCCCAGCCCGACACGGCGGGCGGGCTCATTAGGGCGGCTGTGTGGTGAGGCAGGGCTGCTGCCGTGATAGCGCGGCACGCCACGGGCCGAGGAGGGCGAGAGAGTGGGCTGGTGGAGCGGCCCGTCGGCGGCTGTTGACAGTGGCAGCTGTCGGGAACACTAGGCGATGTGACCTGCGTGTGTGGTCGGGTGCTGTTGGGTGTAGCGCGGCGGGGGGCGCGTCTGACCATCCGCGCCGCCCGCCAGTGTCGTCGCTGCTGCGGAAGCTGAAGAGCCAGTCACGGGAGCAGATGGACCGGCGGCGGCCGGCGCTGGTGGCCGCCCTCCACCAGATCCCCGACTTCTACATGGAGATCAAGTGGGACTTCCAGACCTGGGGTGAGTCTCTCTTGTGTGTGTCCCGAGCTCGCGGTGGCGACAGACTTCAGCAGGTGCAAGCCCAGTGTGCGGTGGTGGCCTTTCAGTGACAGCCGGCCACCGTTGGCATATTTAGGTGAAAACTGTTCATGGTCAGTTACGTAAATTTTGGAACGCGTGAAACATCTTGCATTTCGCAAGATTTTCCACGATTCTAGTCCAGATTTGATCATCATAACCATGGCGATCTGCAATAGCTCTCTTTGTTTACGAGGAGCATATCGGTGCATTTTGTGAATATATACGTAAATTCATGCATATTCACTTACTTTTATCTGCATCATTTGTACACCTCGTAAGGAAGTCACAGTATGCCCTCCCAGTCGAATTAATACCATGCGTGTCCGCTGTACGATGTCGGTACGTGCGACACCCCGGCTGAGTGCGCCGTGCCCGCCCCGGCCGCAGTGCCGCTGCTGCACCGGATCCTGCCCTCGGACACGTGCAAGATCTACAAGCGCGGCGCCTCCATCCGGCTGGACACCACGCTGGTGGACTTCGCCGACTTCAAGTGGGAGCGCGGCGACATCAGCTTCCTCTTCAACGGCGACGCGCCGCCCTCCCAGTCGCTGTGCGTGCTGGACAACAAGCTGCGCGTGTACCAGACAGTGCGGTATGAGGTAAGACAGAGCGCCCGAGCACATTTCAGGGATGCACAGGCTTACCCGCGATGTTTTTTGTGTGTTTTTTTTCTGGGATCGCCCGAGTGTGTAGGCGGCATTGTGTTGTTTACTAAATTTCCGTTGGGTTAACATCGCCGTGGTTGGATTGGGCTATGCAAAAATCTGCATAAAAGTTTTGGAGTTATGAGTTACACGGCAGGGTTGTGATGAACTGATGGGTTTAAGAGCCCGTGCTAATCGTTTTTCTTCAGATCAAGTTTCCCCAATGCCAGTTCTGCACTCTGTTTTTTTATCTGCCCAGTTCTATGTTGCTCGGTGTTTCTGCATCTATCGCTGAATTTTTTTTAGGAGACGGAGCTGGAGATTGAAGAGGAGATTGACATTCTGATGAGCAGCGATATTGTATCAGCCCAGATGTCCACTAAGTCCATCACTTTCACGCGATCTCAGCAGGGATGGTTCTTCCGGTCGGACAGAAAGGTATGAGACACATGCTTGCAAGGCCAAGCCGCGCTATAATCGCTGTGTGCTGTGTAGGAGTTATCACAGCATGCGGTGTCCATGAAGAGGGTGCTGCCATCCTGACCTGGGCCAGCGTCAGTGTCCGTTGCTCCGTCCGTATATTCGTCCTGCCTCGCCGGCCGTGTCCGCACGCTGCCCTCCGCTGTTTGGTCGCGTGTCTGGCCCTTTGCTCCGTCCGTATTGTCGTCCTGCCCCGCCGGCCGTGTCCGCACGTTGCCCTCCGCTGTTTGTCGCGTGTTGGCCCGTTGCTCTGTCCGTATTGTCGTCCTGCCTCGCCGGCCGTGTCCGCACGCTGCCCTCCGCTGTTTGTCGCGTGTCTGGCCCGTTGCTCTGTCCGTATCTGTCGTCCTGCCCCGCCGGTCCTGTCCGCACGCTGCCCTCTGTTGTTTGTCGCGTGTCTGGCGCCACCGGTCGTGGTGAAGCGGCCGACCCGTGTAGAGAGTCACGTGGCCGTCGAGAGCCGGCGCGTGGCCATCGAGAGCGCCTGGCCGTCGATGTGGAGAGGGGGTCGCGCCGACGGCTGAGCGACGGCGACGACGACGGCTGCTGCTGACCCCCCGCTGTTCCACAGGAGATGGTCGGCAAGTACGACGCCGACTTCTATGACGTGCATGGCGTGGTGTTGGAGACGCGCAAGCGGCGCGAGCACCTGTCCGCCGAGGACCTGCAGAAGAACAAGGCGCTGATGGACACCATCACGCGCGGCAGTGCCCACCAGCTAGACACCGAGGAGATCCGAGAGGTGGGACGCGCCGACGCCGCGCGGCTGCGCAGGCTGCCCGCCGGCCTACAGCGGGCTGAACGCATGGAACGCGCGTTGGAGTTGGTTTGCAGTGTCATTTGTTCTGAGCTGTCGGGGTTCTTGGCTGACGGCCGGCTGAGGATCGCGAGTGTCATGGGCATGGGAGAGGTTTCGTTTTGAGCTGTCGGGGTCCTTGGCTGACGGCCGACTGAGGACGCGAGTGTCACGGGGCATGGGAGAGGTTGTTTTGAGCTGTCGGGGGTCCTTGGCTGACGGCCGACTGAGGACTGCGAGTGTCATGGGCATGGGAGAGGTTTGTTCTGAGCTGTCGGGCCTTTGGCTGACGGCTGGCTGAGGACGCGAGTGTCATGGGCATGGGAGAGGTTTGTTCTGAGCTGTCGGGCCTTTGGCTGACGGCTGGCTGAGGACGCGAGTGTCATGGGTATGGGAGAGGTTTGTTTTGAGCTGTCGGGCCTTTGGCTGACGGCCGACTGAGGACGCGAGTGTCACGGGCATGGGAGAGGTTTGTTTGAGCTGTCGGGCCTTTGGCTGACGGCTGGCTGAGGACGCGAGTGTCATGGGTATGGGAGAGGTTTGTTTTTGAGCTGTCGGGATCCTTGGCTGACGGCTGACTGGGGACGCGAGTGTCATGGGCATGGGAGAGGTTCGTTCTGAGCTGTGTGGGTCCTTGGCTGACGGGTGGCTGAAGACGCTAGTGTCACGGGCATGGGAGAGGTTCGTTCTGAGCTGTGTGGGTCCTTGGCTGACGGGTGGCTGAGGACGCGAGTGTCATGGGCATGGGAGAGGTTTGTTTTGAGCTGTCGGGCCTTTGGCTGACGGCTGGCTGAGGACGCGAGTGTCATGGGCATGGGAGAGGTTTGTTCTGAGCTGTCGGGATCCTTGGCTGACGGCTGACTGGGGGCGCGAGTATCATGGGCATGCTTTTCCATGCCCTGTTTGATCAAGTAGTTTTGTGCTCTCGGCCATGAAGTACCACTGTGGGGTGCTGTGCGAATGCTGGACATATGCCGTCCGTATGAGCGTGCGCGGGTGCTTCTGCGTTGACCCCGGAGATCGGTGGCCCACCGCGGTCCATTTGGCCGGCTGCGGACGCTCCCCGGCCGTGGGCCTGTCCGTCGCGCTGTCGTCTGTGCGTCGGCCGGCTGACCGGCGGCGCCGTGCCGCAGCCGCCGCACCGAACCTCGCTGGAGCCGCCGGCGGCGCCGGCTATCTCCTGGGAGGAGTACCTGACGGCTGACCCGGCCAACGCGCCGCACGTCGGCCGCGCCATCATCTCCAAAGTCAGCTGCAAGCGCTTCAAGAACGCCACGCTGGCCATGGTGGGTGCTCAGGCTGGAGCCGGCCGAGGTCTAGAGGGGCTGCGCGTCGGCTGAATTCGGTTCAGGGGCTGTGCTGGTGTCGGGATTCGGTCAGAATCAGCGCCGGCCGGGCCTGGGTCGGAATCGTCGCTCGGCCGAAGTTTGGTCGTAATCGGCATCACGAGGTCGCAGTGAGCGCTGATGGACGCGTGGCGAACGGCACCGGCCGGGCTGGGGCCGCAATCAGCGCCGGGGCTGGTCAGAATGAACGCCGACTGGCTGTTGTCCCGGGCGCGGCGGGTCTCATCGCTGTCCGCTGGCGGCCAGCTCTGGTCAGGAGAGCCGGCTGGCCGGCGGTAGTCAGTCGCTTGAGGGTGACATAGGGTGCTCAGGATATCCTTGACCCAGGGACCATTTGTTTTCTCGAGGGGGGCACTCGTACTTCCAGCAGTGCTGTTTTGACCAGTAGAAGGCGGTACCAACAGTTTGCTTTCGTGTAGCGGTGCGGCACGGATACTGTGCTCCCCGGAGTGTGGCTCTGGCTCGAGCGTGGGCCAGGTCAGTTGTGCCACCTGCGGATGTGCTATTAAAACCCACGTACAATTAGATGTTTTGTGAAACTGGCTTGCCCGTGATCGCGGCGAGGCTGTATATTATGCGTGCGTATGCGTATCAGTGCGCTAACATGGTACGGACCTCGGTGTGCAGAGTCAGCAGTTCCCACTGACAGTCAGCATGCTACTGGACGTTTTGGACGTCGTGGCGCCCTTCAAGCACTTCAGCAAGCTCAAGCAGTTCGTCCAATGTAAACTCCCACCCGGATTTCCTGTCAAGCTAGGTGAGTATTCCCGTGTCTGATTCCCTCGCGGCAGAACGAGTTGCTTCACAGTTGTAGGACACCAAACCTATATGCAGATGTGCTCATGTAACTTGTGAGGAAGAGCATCTATAACGTTTTGATCATTGAAAGGACTGGATATCTGTCAGATACAGCTAGAGTCTATTGACGGGGCTTCTGGTCTACATGCAGAGTCGTGCAATAGCAACATCCACTCACTTGGCCTGGTGTGGCTTCTGCCACGTGCATGCCGGTGGTTAAAGGGACGGCTTCTCACGATAGATTTGTTTCGTCTTGGTTTGTTTCGTAGGCTGGTGGCGTCGGACATACTCTGGCCCATATTGGTGTGTCACTTCCGTTGTCCTGATCGTTGACTGAGTTGTCGCCGCCGCAGATATCCCACTGATCCCGGCCATCACCGCCCAGATCACCTTCCAAGACTTCTACTTCGAGGATAGCCACCCGAGCCACCTGTTCACGGTGCCGGCCGAGTACACGGAGGACCCGGCCAGGTGAGCGGCGCTCCGCCGAGCTGGCGTCCCGCCGGTGCTGCCGGCCTGCTCCCGCGCTGCCGGCGCCGACGGCGCGGTTGTGGCTCGTGCTGCCCGGTTATAACACACGCACAGCTGCGTGGCGTGGCCGTGTCGGCGCTGTTCTGATGGGCGTAATGGGCTGTCTGGTTGGAGAGTGGCTCGCGACTGGTGCTGCCGTCTGCCAGCTACTGCTGAAAGACTATGCGCTCTGGTGTCGCTGCTAGCGGTAGATGCGAGCAAGCCGTGTTGTCGAAATGGGTCCTGCCACGTACCATGGGTGCGTGTTTTCTATCAAACATTGGCTATTAATTAAATGCTGGCCATCGAAAGCATATCGTGTGTTTGGCGGGCATCATGATATATTCAGAAGGCGGCTGCTGTGACAACCTGTGCCGCTGCCGGCAGGTTCCCCGACTTATGACACCCAGAAGACGTTTACCTTTGCGGCACGACATCGACCGCGACCCCGACGGGCGGCGGCGGCGGCCGAGGCCGAGCTCGCCGCTGAGGCCGAGGTGGCGCCGGGCGCCGCCGGCCGTCCGCTGACGGTCCACCTGCCCGTCCAGTTTGGCATCGGCAGTGTCTACTCGTCAGAGCTGTGTGTTCTCATCTGCTGACCGGTGCGGCGAGGAGGCGCGCCCGCTCCCAGGCGCGCGCTCCGAAGAAGGGCGCGTGCAACGGGGGAGGCTTGCTCGGGTGGCGCACAGGGAACGCATTGGCCTCAGCAGCTGACGTGTCACTGGCTTTGGCAGCTCCGAAGAACACCGAATAGTCGCTGGCTTTAGCAGGGTAGCTGGGGGTCGCTGGCGTTAGCAGAGTACCGAGGCTTCGCTGGCTTCAGCGAGTGCTGGCGAGTCACCGAGCTGAGCAGCGGGAGCACTTCTAGCTTTGGCCGCGGAGCCCGGGCTGCGTGAGCGGCAGCGGAGGAGGCAGCCAGAGAGCGCAGTATGCCCCCGTCGCGTGCGGCGCACTGAACGGCGCAGACCAAGCCCCGCCCGGCGAGGCGAGTCTTCGCAGACCCACGCGACTGCCGAGAAGCACCGCGTTGAATGCTGGCTGTCGGTGTGGTGTCGGGGGGGGGGGGGGGGGATGGGGCCTGGCTGACCGGGTGGCGCAGGACGGGGCATGCGGACGCGGGACCTCGCAGGATGACGTATCGCGCCCGGTTGTGGTGGGAGAATCACGCACATCTGACCGTAACAACACCCTGGCTGACTGGGTGGCGCAGGACAGGGCATGCGGACGCGGGACCCCCGCAGGATGACGTATCGCGCCCGGTTGTGGTGGGAGAATCACGCACATCTGACCGTAACAAAACCCTGGCTGCCGACATGCGGACTAAAATTCTCCAGCAATAATTGCAGTCGACCTGGGCCATAAGTTTGCTAGAATCAGCGAGCCAATGCTCCGATGCCCGCTAATGACTAGCAATAGCATTAGCTGGCTTCATGAGCACCTAGTAAGATTCATCGGCCACTTGCAAACCATTGCTTTGCAGACATCATCGGCGTTAACTCACCACTTATGCTAACCGGACGTGTAGCGTGACTACACGGGAAGAGTGCGCCAGCGATCGCTGCCCAGACTGGTGTGTCCCACCTCCCGGGTCAGGTGAAGCCACGGCTGGGACTCGGCGGTCGGAGCCGGGGGCCGTTTGGGGTCAGCTTACCATGCTACCGGAGAGGAGTGTTGAATCAACATCCTTGCGGAGCTGGGTATCGGAGGACTGCGCCCCGATGTTGGTCGTTGGCTCTGGGTGTCGCTGAGGGTCTGTTTCTGGTTCAGTGTGCCGCCGGAAGCGAGAGCTCTGTACCGCCGGGGAGCATTTAGCGGATCACCATCAGTGTGCACCCTGGGGACAGAATGATGTGCCGCAAAAGGTCAGATGTTAGGTCAATGCCAGCGTTAGGTCAGATGGTAGGTCAATGCCAGCGTTAGGTCGGATGGTAGGTCAATGCCCGCGATAGGTCAGATGGTAGGTCAATCCCCGCCATAGGTGAAAAGTCGGGTCCATTCCCGCGGCAGGGCGGATGTCCGAGGTCGATACGCCACCATAAACCGGTTGTGAGACCACCGGCGACGCCGATGCGATCAATGGGAAGAGCTCCGCGTCGCCACCGGTCAGCCGCTGGGCAGCTGCCGGTCAGCCGCTAGGCAGCTGCCGGTCAGCCGCTGAGCAGCTGCCGCCAGTAGCGTAGTGCTAGAGACTGGGGCGGCTGTGGTCCATGCCGCTGGGACACCGCACCGCTGCGAGTAGATAGGTACAATTCTGCCGGCACTGGGAGTCCACTGTCGACACGATGTACGGACCCCGTTGTCGCGACGGCGAGATCTCCGACCAGGTCCCCATCTGGAGCGACCAGATATCTAGTCGGAATGGTGATACAGCCGACGGGCTCTTGCCGCGTGGCGAGCCTGGCGGTTCATGTCCAGTGGGCTCGACAGGTAGCCGCTACTACTTCGAATGGGACGCGGGTGAAACGTGTATTGCTCAAGGGGCGCTTTAAACGTGGCAATCACTGTACAGACACGTCGTAAATTTGATTTTAAAAGTGGTGTACTGAAACGAAATCGACCCGTATTTTGGGATTCCGTGCATACCGTGCTTGTTTGGGAAGCGTCCATCGTGTACATACGCACCGCAAAGACAGCTGTGTCGGTTGGGCGGGTGTTCGGTCCGCGTTGTGAGCTGACGCTTGCTGTCCACTGTGCTGTGATTGGACGGCGCGCGACTCCGCTAGCAGTGTGTTGTGATCATTCGGCGTCGTGTTCGGGCGCGCGAGGAGGCGCGTTACGTAAGGTTGTGTTAGGGGAGGCTTCCCGAGGCAAGAGACGTTTCAAGAGCATTTTGGACATGTTGACCAACTTTTTGTCTCGGTCATGATCAGTACGATATTTCGATCTTAGTGTGTGCATTTATAATCAAGACATGTTAACGATCTATTACCTAGTATTTAGGAAGCTTATTGGATTGGTATTAAAGATGGTTTGTGATTGTCCGCTGATGCCATAAGTTATTTTGTTTCTCTTCGTTGGAATGCCTCAGAAAAAAAGAATGATGGAATGGCATCTCAGTGTTTCGATAGCCAGATTTGCATGCCAACGCGACCATCTCCTTCAGCCACATCATCGTTCATGTTGCATTGGCGCAATGGCTCCAGCCATGTGTCATTGGGGACTGAACGACGTATTCAGCTGCTGAGGCTGTAGGGCTTCGTCTGCCTCTCACCCAGGGCACCGCGGGGCATCGAACTCTGTACCTCTGGTTTCCCAGACGCGCAGTGCTTAACGCAGACGCAGTTAGCCACTACACTACCGGCACCCGATAACATTGGCTCCACCCAGGTGTCCGTCGAGTGAAGTCTTCCTCCCAGCCGCCGACCGGACCTCTCCCGGGACTTATCACATGCCGCTGATATACATTGGATAACAAATTTTCAGTGAAGCTGATGTCTTCTGCTGGCAGTGGAGTCGATTGAAGGATTAGTGTCATGGGGTTAAGGGTGACTGAGCATCCCCGTTTTTTCCGGAAGCGAGTTACGCGTGGGCACCATACAACCATACAGCACCATACAACCCTCAGCATTGCCATCAAGTGTGTTATTGGGTTGATCGCGTCTCTTGCCTTGGCTGTGGCCAACAGGGAGCATTCGGTAGGTGATAAGTGATGGGTAGACCCAGACCCTAACTTGACGCTTGGTAGGTGATGAGTGATGGGTAGGCCCAGACCCTAACTTGACGTTTGGGATGCCTGTTTTCAGAAAGTCTTTTCTAGCTGACGTTAAAAGGACCTGTTTTCAGCGGCCATGTTTCCGAAATTTTTACCTAAGCAGAGCTAGGCAGTTTAATATGTCTTATGAAAGTGGGCTCTCTGAACGTAATCTGGTCGTGAGCTCTCTGAAAATGGGCTTTCTTGATGCAGGCCTCGATGAACAGAAGGCATGTTTGAAGTGTGCTATATGGCCAGGCCTTTTAAAAGGAGACTTCCTGAAAAAGGCTTTCTGAAACCAGCCGCTCTCGAAAGGCTTTGAGAATAGACTCTGAATGTATTCCTTCCAAAGGTAAGTTTCCTGGAAAAAGCTTCCGTTAAGACGGTCTGCTTTCAGAAGACGTGCTCTCGTAAGGTTTACGTTCATAGCCTTACTGAGTTCAGAAGATCGTTGTTCAGATGACGTACGTTCCAAACCGCTGCTTTTAAGAGGCCTGAATTCAGGTCTGCATACACTATGGTCGTGTTCAGACGGCTTACTTTCGGAACCTCCGTGTTAAGAGGACGTAGTTGCACGTGCGTAGAGGACGCGCTTGCACTTGTATTTGCACAAGGAACGTACTGTACTTCTACGTACTTGCACGTACTTGTAAGTGTTTGAACGTACTTGTAGGGGCTTCTGTTCAGGAAGCGTACTTCCTGAAGCCCGATGTTCAGAGGTCTTACTTGCACACTCGAGAGGAGGCTAAGGGCTGGAGGGGCATCGAGGGTTATTCAAGTTGTTTTTTTTCACTCCTCTCCATAAACGTACCTAACGCAAGAAACATGGAAAAATGAGGTGAACCGGTGGCCCTGTTTCCCAGTGCAAGTAGACCTTGAGATCACAGGCGTGTGGCAGAAGACCTGTGCACAAGCCGTGCACGAGTTGGCCTGTTGCGCACAAGGTTTTCGGAGGCATGCCCTCTAAACACGCTCACTGCGCAGGCAGGCCGCCGGAAAGAAGAGCGTAGGTCTTCTGAACGTGGGCCTTCTAAATGTAAGTCTTCTCAGAAACAACTCGAAATTAGGCCTTGTGGAGAAGGGCCTGAAATTGGTCCTTCTGGACTTAGACCTTTTGCAGGTGGGTTTGGAAACAGGCCAGAACATAGGCACAAAAGCGGCGTTCTGAGCGTAAGCCTCCTTTCAATGATTTTAAAATTGTGTGCCTGCTGAAAACAAGTCGTTCGAAGACGGACAGTTCTGAGCGTAAATCTTCTGGGCGTAGTATCCGAAGTAGGTCGCGGAACGCAGGTCCCATAAGCCTTGCGATACGTAACCGACCACCTCACAACCCGTGTGCGCGTGCTTTCTTAATTCATCTGGACTCACGAATACCGTGGACCTGTCTCGAGTGACACCGCGTTGGCACGCGGCCAGAATCGCTATCGCTCCTATTCCCAGTGACGTGGGGCAATTGCATCAGCGGATGCGATCCTCCGCATCCGCGTACCGCCCAACATTGCTGGTGAACTGTCGTCCGAACCAGCCCTTCCTGGTTTCTTTTCGTTGGCCGGGACCGAGTCTTGCAACAGCCAAGCCGGTCCAGCGGCTGCCGCTTTGTTAGATTGGTGTTGTGCGGCCTCCGTGGCGCTCCATCCCTCACATCCCCATGCCGCGCACGTGGCTGGTCAGACCGCCGCCTGGCCGACAGGCGGCGGCGTCGCGCGACCGCCAGGTGGCTCACGTTGCCTCATCTCGCAACACCAATCGATATCGCTT